GATCTCATCGCGTAGCTGTTTGATGCCCTTCGGTGCCTTGCGGACAATTGATTCGATCTTCTTAATATAACGCCCGTCCAGTTGATTGCGATAATCGGGACGCATGAGCATCGAGGCATAGGTAAAAGCGGATTTCTTTAGGCCAGCGCGATGGCATTCGATAACAGTCGAAGTCAGTATGGGCACAATATCTGAGGATGATCAAGAATGAATAAATATACTATACTAAAATTTAAATATCTAGTTTACGTTCTGGAAATTGTGAGATGCAGGCAGCCACCTGGACGAGCAGCTTGGCGGCCAGCAGATGATTGCCCAGCTTGACATGAATGCGCACGAGCGTATAGCGATGCAGCAATATTAAATTGTGCCGCATTTCAGCAGTCACCGAGAGATTATTGCGACGCAGCTCCTGGTACATGGAGTAAAGTAAGTCTCTCGCAGATTTATAATTGCCTGAAATCTGCTCCTGATTGGCTATAATAACGGCTGTCTTAGCCGCGTCCTTGAAGTGCTTGCGAGCCATATACAAGCGGAACAGATATCGGGGATCCTTGGGCACACCATCGAGTTCGCCCAGTAGAAATTCAATTAGCTGCGTGGCCAGCTGTTCATTATTGGAGGTGGCCACGCAATCAATGGCCAGTGATAGTGCCTGCGATTCCTCATTACTGAAAGCAGAGGCCTTGAGCAGGAATCGGAGAGCCTTGGTAAATTCTCTGGCCAGAAAATAATATTTTCCCGCTAGCAGAGTATATTTCTCGCTCTCAAAATAATGAGCCAGCGCCAGATAATCTGCAGATTTGGCATTCTCATAGCGCTCCAGAAGCTCGCCATGGCGACGCAGCTTATTATGACGCTGAGCCAGAGCAAAGGCCTCCTCCACACAGCCGCAAATGACGAGGAACTGAAGAGCCTGTTCGATATCGTTGATTTTCTGATAGAACTTTGCCAGCATTTTGGCTGCATCCATTGAGCGTGACTCGAGGACTATTTCGGAGGCAGCATGTGGATCACAGAGATGATCTAGATAGATTCTAACACACGCATCCAAATCCCCAGCAATACGGTAGCTGTTTATGGCTTGTTCGAACTGTCCGTCCGCTTCCTTGGCCTTGGCATAGGCTGCATGTAATTTGCTACTCTTCACATGGCCCAATATATTGTTAGCCTTGTGCCACATCTTCAGAGAGATATAATGCCCGCAAGCCTCATCGTAGTAGCCGCCACGTTCGTAAAGTCCGGCCGCCTCTGTGAGGTGACCCACAGTGGCCAGCAGCTCGGCGCAGTCGAAGAGCAGCTGCTTATCCTGCAGCTCCACAGCATATTGAATCTGGATAGAGTAATATTATAAATACTGTGTGAAACAATGTGAAGTTCCTTACGCCACGTCGAAAATCGCCCGCACGTATGGAGGTGCGTGCAATGCCCATTTTGCAGAGACGCACATGCTCCTCGTATTCCGGTGTGCTGTGCAGCAAAGTGGGCGGCTCTGAGTCCTCGTTGTTAATAAGATCCTCCTTGTAACCTTTCTCGTAGTGATACAAAGCATCCGCATAGTTGCCACTAGGAGAAAAAAACTCTTCAAAAATGCATCTTTACAGAGAATTGTTTTCGTCTTACGTAAATTCCAATTGTTGAGCATACTCTCGCGCTATGTAAGGCACCTCATTCGGTTCGTATTTGTGCGCCAAGAGCAGCGCCTGATCCCATTGCAGCAAATCCCTGCTTAGATCCAGAGCAGCTCGTGTATACGATCCTTTTAGCAAGTACTCCTTGGCTTGATCGTACTGACCCAGAAGCATGCAACAGCAGCCGCACAACATATGCAAATCCTCGACATAGACCAATTCGTCCAGCGCATTGACTAAAGCAGCATCGCCCAATTGACGATAAGCGCGCAGAGCTGTTCATATAGAGATGAATGATATTTAGATTTAAGAAAACATTATTATATAATTCATAGTTAACCAATTTCCGGCTCCAGATCGGCGATGGCATGCTCGCCAAATTGTCGCCAGGCGCTGTCCAATTGCATCTGCTCGCACAGCTTGTAGGCCTCGTCATATTTCTTGAGCTTCAGCAGCAACAGCAGATTATCCGTTTGGCTATTTGTGGGATTGATGACATGTGTGCTCAAGCACTGCGTTGCATACTGCCCGCCATCGATGTGCAAAGCCATCTCACCGGCACAGACCAGCAGGGGCACCTGGCCAGGATTCAGCTTCGACTCACCCAATCTCTGACTGTATCTGCCACGCACGGAGTGACGCGTAAAGACATGCGTATAAACCAGGCGGGAGTCGTAGCTAATGAAAATGTTCGATTGGGTCAAGTCCCACAGGCATCCCAAGCACTGTTTGGGCAGCTCCGCAATGAGCAGAGCCTCCTGATCCAAAGCGGGCAAATAGACAAAGCCCTGGCCATGTTCATCAATAAAAATTGTTTTGGTGCCCTCGACGTCTGTGTAAAGCTGGCGTATGCCATTGCTATGACGATAGATAGTGCACGTATCCCACTTCTCCAGCGAGTAAAACACCAGATGGCCAATCTGAAAAGGCAAACACCATGAATAGCAAATAGCAGAAAGTGTTTTCCCTATTACACACATCCGTTGCAAAGATGAGCAGCTCCGGACTGAGAGCAAAGCATGTGATGACTGCATCGCTGGGCAGGGAGGAGGGCAGTGCACTGGGAAAGCATGCCTGCAGCTTATCCTTGCAGTTGGGATTATCCGCAGCGATTGCTTGCAGTATCAACTGTGGTGGGCAAAGAGCAGCGCAGTAATCCGCATTCAATTTCATAGCCACAATATCGTTTGGCAGATCGCGTTCGCTGAGTGGACGCGGCTCATCCCCTAAAGTCTTGCCCAAGTCATAGAACCAGACATGTTTGTCCAGGCCAACAGCAAACGTATACGGGCCAATGGCCAGAAATGATGGCTCCGTCTCCAAGGGCAGGCGAAAAGGCAATGTTTTTGATTTATCTGGAGCATAGACGTAAATAGAAACTTCCGCCAAGCTACTCAACATGACCAGACGTGGAGCCGACACGGCAAACATGTGCGGCAGCTTGGTTACATAAGTGTACACAGTGCCTCCACTGGTAGTGACTGCCAGGAGCTGTCCATCTGGTGACCAATCAATCATTTGTACGCTCGCATGATCCGGCACTGTGATAATTCGTTCCGTTTCCTGCAGATTAGTAATCGAGTGGATCTTGATACTGTGTGGATGAAGAAGTCAGAGTGAAAAATGCTTCAGTGAATAAATGTGGATCCACTAACTTGTCATCGCCGCAGGAGGCAACAATATCCAGAGATGGACAGTAGGCCAAGCCGGTGAGCGTATCCTTGTGATTTCGCACCTGCCACAGCTCCTGGCCAACGTCCTTGGGATGCGTAGAAATAGCCACAACATGGCCATTGGAAAATCCTAGCAGTATGTAGCCATCGCCAAACCATTTGTGCTGCAGCAGCGAACCATAGCGACTCTGGAAGCCGAGTTCTGTTGGATTCTCCGGCTCCGGCAGATAGTACAGGAACAACGTGCGTTTGCCAATGATCATGCTAATGGCATTGTCGCCCGCTATGCGCTCATCATTCGCCATCTCTGCAAAGTACATATCGGAGGGAGCATCGCGTAGTTGAACAATGCGCACCGTATCACCATCTTCGGTGCTCAGTGAGAAGCTTTTGTCGTCAGAGCCGAGAGCAAGCAGATTCTGTGCTGACCATGCGCCGCAAGTAATGCGCTTGTTGTGCTTGCCAATCACCGGGGTTCGTTTTCCACTGCGATGATTATAGATGGCCAAATTGCCACGTCCAGTGCCTACAGCCAAAATTTGTTGTTGTTTAGACCACAAGATGCAGGTGAGCGGATCACGCAGTCCAGATTCCACAGTCAGCTTTTGTTGGGTCGCATAATCCCAAAGAGTGATATTAGGTGAGCTGCTGGTAATGATCCCCAATAGATCTCCCTCGCAATCCCAAGCAAAACCAGAGCATAGACTGAAATGGGCAATTTACAATAAATATATTGATAAGCATATATCAATGTTACCCGGCTAATATGAGGCGCTGCACCAGCTGGCCTTGGCGATTGTATAGAGCTACGGAACCATCGGTGCCTGTTGTGGCCAGCAAAGCGCCGGCACTCTTCTGCCAAATGAAGTAGACGTCGCCAATGCCGTGCGGCTCATCATATTTGTACAATATCTTCTCGAACGACATTTTCAAAGATTAAACTCCTATAGCAGCATGGTTTTTCCGGAAATTTTTGCACTCTTGCTGCATTTTGCAGAGCTTGAAACTTTTTTCAGTTTTCTGTTTACGCTTTTTACCGTTGCTATGACAGCAACAAGTAGTTTTCAAACGATACTACTCATTTCATTTACAGTGTGACCATGATTTACCATAAATAAATAGGAAAAATAAAACAAAATATTTAAACTTGTTGAAGCTTAAATTTATATACAGCTGAATACTTTTTGACATATGTATATTTTTATTTTTAACTGTTTGACATAGCTTCTTAATGATTTGTATAATAAATTTATAATAATGAGTCACTAAGCTTTCTTCTTTGTTTACATGTTTTTGCCGTTACCATCAGTGTTGATAGCTTAGCCTATTTCAAGCCAAATCTAGGCTCTTTGAAAGTGGCTAGCTTAGCCTATTTATAATTAATCCTCTGCTGTTTATTTTTGTGTTTTAAGCTATTTGGCAATTAATAAAATTGTATTCTTGAGCAAGCTAGCAGCAGATAGTGCTCTCATCCATTTTTACCCACACTCCAACTCATTTCGGAGTTCAACAACCGGCAGCACTGGTTACAACAAGTATTTTTAAACGATACTCTTTACGACAGGCAGTATTTTCTATAAAGCAAAAATACTATCATATTCTTTCTTCTCTTTGTCATCAGCATACTAATCCTAAGGCAGAGAACAGCTGTATGGAATAACGAATGTTTAAAAGCATTCTAAAATTTGTTATTTAAAATAATAATTATTTAAAGCGACTACATTCTTATAGTAAATCCTAAACGTTAAATATAACCATGTCGGATGATCTACCGGAGGAATTCGATTTAATAGTCATAGGCACAGGTAAAAGGCGTTATTAGTTATAGTATTGTTTTTTTTCTACGACTTCAGTTTGATGAGTCATGAATGTTATTTCTTAGGCTTCGCGGAGTCCTGCATTGCCGCCGCTGCCAGTCGCATAGGTAAAAATGTCCTGCACATTGATTCCAATGACTACTATGGCGACGTTTGGAGCTCGTTTAGCTTGGAGGCATTTAATAAATTATTGGAGCAGCCAAGCAGCAGCGTGCGCAATGGGAGTTACACCTGGCATAATGCGACTGATGAGCATGGACAGGAACAGGAGCAGGAGCACCAGGCAACGAGATGGACACGCGAATCGCTGCTAGAGAAGTCTCGTCGTTTTAGCCTGGATCTAAGTCCACGTGTCGCCTATTGCGCTGGCTCCTTGGTGCAATTGCTTATCAAGTCGAATATCTGTCGTTATGCAGAATTTCGCTCCTTGGATCATGTGTGTATGCTGTACAACAAAGAACTCGTCTCAGTACCCTGTTCCCGCAGCGATGTCTTTAATACCAAAACTCTGACTATGGTCGAGAAACGACTCCTGATGAAGTTTCTGACCGCTTGCAATGATTACGGCGAAGATAAATGCAACGAGGATTCGTTAGCGTTTCGCGGACGCACCTTTCTGGAGTATTTGCAGGCACAGCGGGTGACGGAGAAGATCTCCAACTGTGTGATGCAAGCGATTGCCATGTGCGATGCCAGCACCAGCTTCGAGACGGGCATGGAGCGCACCCAGCGTTTCCTTGGCAGCCTCGGTCGCTATGGCAATACGCCCTTTCTGTTTCCCATGTACGGCTGTGGCGAATTGCCGCAATGCTTCTGCCGTCTGTGCGCTGTTTATGGCGGCATCTATTGCCTAAAGCGCAGCGTCGAGGATATCAATTGGACGGAGAGCGAGCTGCTTGTGAGCAGCGCAGGGAAAACATTGCGGGCAAAGCATTTAGTTTCTGCTCCCTCTCAACTGCCAGCCACATTGGCCACACACTTCGGAGACTCCGAACCGCGTTTATCGAGAGGCTTGTTCATTACCTCCAAGCCCCTGGGCAGCGAAGAGCTAAATAAAGGAGGCGGAGGCGTCAATTTCTTACGCTTGCTTACGACGAATGGAGAGCGGGAGGCTTGCCTGATACAACTCTCACACTATTCGGGCGCATGTCCAGAGGGTTTATGTAGGTGTCGCAGCTACTCTTGAGGTAAACTCTTATTAATTAGAAATCTCTTACATTTTCTAGATATACTCCACTTAACGACGCCCGCAGTAAGCTCCAATCCAGCAGGAGATTTGGCTGACTTTGTGGCGCAGCTTTTTGAGCCGAACGCCAGCGAGATCCTCTACAGTGCCTACTTTACAATAGCCGCTCCAGCTGCCGAGAGTATTGCAAACGCTGCCACGCCCATCTACTGCACAGCGGGACCCGTCTACGAGCAGGATTATGATGCGGCCATAGAGAATGCGCGTCACATCTTCAGCCAGCTTTATGAGAATGAAGAGTTTCTGCCGCGAGCACCCGATCCAGAGGAGATTGTTGTCGATGGCGAGGATCCGAGTGCGCTAAATGAGCACAGCCTGCCGGAGGATTTGCGTGCACAGCTGCAGGACTTGGAGCAGGCAGCACAGCAAATGGATATAGCGGAATAACAGGGCAACGAGAAGAATGAAGGAAGACAACTTTATTATTTATTTATTCATCACTTTATTGAGAAAACAGAAAAAAAAACTGAGAATAATTCTATATACATGCTAAACTATCAATTATATATATAATATATATATATCTTGGACAATTAAAATTCGCAGCAGGTTTTCTATTTCCTTTAGGTTTTAGTTTAAAATCAAATATGTGCTTGCATATAAATTTATATATTTATATGTATACGTATGTATATTTGTGTAAATTATTTATTAGGTAAACACTAGTTACTATATATATTTTATACTTTATATGTATGTATGTGAGTGTGTATGTGTGTGATTTCTATATATATATATATCTATATATCTCTTCCAAAAATATGCATTATAAAAATTGTATTTGTTGCCTTACTATTTGTTTTATTGCTTGACAGTTGCTTGTTAAAATTTCTTGTGATGCACTCAAATTGTGTGTGGGTCTTAAATTAATAGAAAATAGAAAATAACACAATGTGTTAATTTGTTTAAATAATAGTATAAAGTTTAGTTAACAAAGGTTGAACGCACCAATTTAGTCTTATGTTTTGAATTGAGCAGCATTTTGAGAGGGGGTTTCTTTTTGTTTTTGTTTTTTCGAGGCAGTACTAAAAGAAACATTTAAAATTAACATAATATGCCACAATTTGATTATGAAACGATACAAAGTGCATTTTACAATATGTTTCGAGTGTGATTTGTTTTTCATCTTGTCTATATATTAATAAATATATATAATATATATAGATATATCTGCTTTTAAGTGCATTTTACAATAATGCTTTTACGTTTTCGTTTCACGTAAAGTATCAGCTGCTGCTCAAAATGAGTTTGCTATTCCTTCTGCTTTAATGCATATACACATATATATACATACGAGTACATACATGTATATATATGTGTGTTTCAATTGTTTTCTCTTTTTTTATATCTTAATTAGATTATTGTTGATATTCTGCTGGCGTTTGCGCTTCGCATTCATTGCATCCACAATGGGCTGTCGCTTGGCATTATATTTTTTATTCAGCTGCTCAATTTCCAGCTCCATCTCGTGATCAATATTGCTCAGTCGCTGATTTAGATCGTCGTAGGTGAGAAATTTGAGAAACTCAAACTCTCCTTCTACATAGGCGTGCGATTGTGTGTGCAAATGCTGATGCTGATATGCGGGCGGCGGCGCAGCAGGAGCAACTGCAGCTGCAGCTGCTGCTCCGCCCTGCTGCTGCGAGCTACGCAGCAAATTCTGTTGATTGTTGAGCGCAATCAGTTGCTCGGTCATTAGGGGATACGCCATGAGCAATTGCTGCTGCTGCTGTTGTTGTTGCTGTTGYTGCTGGTGCTGTTGCAGGCCATATTGATTGATTGCTGAGATTTGCTGAAATTGCATTTCCATGTTGTGCTCCCAATTGTTGGCATCATGCGCACCACTAGCCAAGTGCTCCTGTGGCTGCTGCTGTTGTTGTTGCTGCTGCTGCTGTTGCTGCTGCTGCAACTGTTGCTCCACGGCAGCGGGCGAATACTCCGTCGTTGCCTTCTCATCGGGACCAGCATTCTTGCGCTCAAAGTGATCGAGGAACTGTGGACGATAGCGATAGCGCGGCTTCTGATCATCATTACGCTTGGCCGTGCTCGAGTCATCCGAATCCGAATTAATGACCATTGTGCCTGCCGGAGGGAAGACAAGATGTTTAAATAATTCGAATGCCTTGCTTGAGATAAGTTGACATGGCTGCCTTTACTATTTCAGTACTTATCCATTTCCTTTCTCACTCACCTAAATTGGACTCCAGTTCGACCATGGTGCCGCTGTCCACTGTGGCCACATCAGCACTGCCACCAGTGCCACCAGCACCGCCGGCTGCTGTCGCAGACGCTTTGGCTGCAGCCTTGGCCATGCCTGCCTTTATGCCGCCTGGACCCAGTGTGGCATCGTCCACATCTTCGCGATGTGCTATCATGGTCGCATCCGAGGCCGAGTTCTCCTGGTATTCATTGAATTTCTCAGGCACTAAAGTGCCGGGATCTACAAATGTCTTGACTGTGCCCGAATTGTACTCGTTCTCCTCCTCGTGCAGCATTAGGCCACCCTCTTGTGTGGCCAGACTCTTGGCCTGGCTCATGGCACCACCAGCTGCGCGATGGGCGCGCTGTTGCTCCCTTATGGCGCACGTCTCTTCCAGCATGGTCTTCAGTATGCTGCGATGCTTGGCATTGCGTATGAACTCGTGCTCTAGCAGTTCAGTGGCCGTTGCTCGCTCATCCGGATTCTTGACCAGGCACTTGCTAACGAAATCAATGAACTCTGTGCTCCAGCGATCCGGCTCCCGGAACGAGGGTGGCGGTTTTTGTGGTATCATAAATATGGCACGCATCGGATGTATTTCTCCATATGGAGGCTTGCCTTCAGCCATTTCCAGTGCTGTGATGCCCAGCGACCAAATGTCCGCCACACAATCGTAGCCGATCTCCTCAATCACCTCCGGAGCCATCCAGAATGGCGTTCCAATAACTGTATTTCTTTTGGCCATCGTGTCTGTTAGCTGACCAGCGACACCAAAGTCCGCCAGTTTGGCATAGCCCTCGGTATTCAGCAATATATTAGCTGCCTTGATGTCCCGATGGATTTTGCGACGTAGATGCAAATACACCAGACCCTTTAGCGTATCCGATAGTATTGTCGCAATTTCCTCCTCCGTCAGAGTTTTCTTGCGCAAACGCATAATATCTGAGACGCTGCCGGCGCCACAGTATTCCATGCAGATCCACAGATCGTATTGCTTGAAATAGGAGCCATAGTAGCGCACCACATAGGGTGAATCACACTGTTGCATAATCGAGATCTCCTTGATTATCTCGTGCAGATCGGACTCAACCGGCACCAATTTGATGGCCACTATTGAGCTACTCTCCTTGTGCAGCGCCTTATATACCGAACCGTAGCTGCCCTCGCCCAGTTTGTACATTATGTCAAACACTTTCTCTGGCGGCTGCAGCAGAGATTCCTCTGACAATTTCTTTAATTCACCATTGCCATTTGTATTGGAAGACATGTTGCTGGCTGTTGTTGTCGTTGTTCTACGTCTGCATATGCGTTGGCTGTGCTAGTGCCAGTGGCTCTGCTTTTTACTTCAATTCGTACGTATTTGCGGTATATTGGTTTTAAAACAACACAATATCTGCGCCACGATAATTGCCAATTTAATGCAAGGTTTTTTTTTGCACCCACATTTGTTCTTTATTCGTTCACCAGTAGAGCTGGTGCAGCAAAATTGCTAGTCACTGGTATTTTTTAGTGACTAGCCATGGAATATACGCGTTTGGTATTAAACTATCCTCTTGAAAATACTTTTATTTCTTTGTTTTATCACTGTTGTTTGGTCAGTGGTTTCATGTAAACAATATGCAAGTACAAATGGTAAGGCTTGGGAATACATTTATTAATGGGCATAGATGTAATCAAATGGTGCAATCTTATAAACAAGTTTGTTTTATGACTGAAAAAGGTAAAGAAAATTTGAATATTGTGAAATTAGTATTTCTTTGTACCTTTTAACGTAAATTATCGTTATCGATTCTCAATAAAAGTGGCGCGTGACAGCTGAAAAAGTCCCATTTTAGCATAACAATTATATTTATTATAAATAAAAAAATTAAAGCACTATCAACCATTATTCTCTGTATTAAGCTTTAAGTTTAAGCTTCTATTTATATACACAAAGGCAATATATTAATTTAGTTTATTATATAAAATTTTCCGCTGGGCGACGTTGCCAGACTGGCAGAGTGCAACATGTAAACGCAGTTTGGCGCATTTTTTAAATTAAAAAATTGCCCAATTCGTTTGTTTACTGGCAACGGCAAGAGCATAAATACCATTATATGCAATTTCTAAACAATGTGTCTTATCAGTCAGTCACTGTGCATTTGGCTGTCCTAGCAACGCGCGCCATAGTAACGCTCGAGGATACCAATACACACAGAAATTGAGAAAATTCCTGAACCTTTTGCTCGGGTCGTCAGTTTGTTGTTTACGCTAGCTGAATACAGTTCAACGACTAACGCAACAAAGAAATGTCTAATACACGCATAACCACCGCCTATGGAGCGCGGCCATCGTACGATTTACATACAAACTCCATATCGCTGAAACAACGTTCCAAATCCGCAAATCCACCACAATTACGGCCATTTAGCGGCATTCAGGGTACGCGACCCCGTTATGTGCCGCCATTTTCCATACAATCGCAGCAGAAAAACACGGTAGTCATTAACGGTCCCATACACGAGCCACCCGTCACTGCAAGCGCACGAGGTCGTCCACCGAATCCCAAATGTTCGTATTCCCTAACATTTTTCGGAACCCCAGAAAATGTCACATTATTTTGATTATTTGTATTTACTTTTAGGTCTGAAGAAACAGCAGAAATCAATTTCGTCATGCAATTTGAATGCTAGCCTTAACGCCTGCACGGCTAGCAAGAATCCGGGGCGTGGCACATTGTTTCGCATGTATTTTGATCGCGGAGACTTGCCCATTAAAATGGAATATCTGTGCGGAGGCGATAAGATTGGCTGGACGGTGAGTAGACGGAGCAATTTTTATTAATATTATATTATGTATATTAAGTATTAAATCAGAGAATTTTCATATATATTTTATAGACAAGTAAGTCATAGTCTTAAAAAATTAATTAAATTACAAAAAAACCTAGACTTGGTTCATATTTTCTTCAATTTTGGAAAATTCTATTAAATAGTTCTTTATGTATGACTACTAGGAAATTTAGTATGCAACTACAATAGAGACTTTTCTATTCATTTTCGTTTTCTAAAGGGAAAATCAAAAAAATTTGAAAACGAAATCCTTACCTTATAAATATAGTGGCTCTGCATGCGATTAAACTGTTTGAGAATTCCAAACAAGAACTGCATAAATCTAAAAATTTGTACTTTAAATCGATTGTGAAGGGAAACTTTCCAAATGTTTTCTCCGTATTTGCTGAACTTTGATTCCTAAATTACCTGCCAAACAAATCAATGCCAACTAATTGCCAATAGGTGTTAGACCCAATTTCCCCGACTAACGACTGCACACCTGCGTGTCCAATTATATTTGAAGTGTTGGCACAAAGAAAAAAACTAGAGAACTCCCACACTCATATGGCTAGATATATGTAGGTTATTACCTATGTATATATTTATATAGAATTTGTCTATTTCCGGAACAAACAAACGGAGTGACTCCGTTTCGCATTCGCGTTTGCCATACTAGCTGTGACGTCCAGGTGTCTGCCAGTCAGTCACTCAAAAAGAGAGAATACCAGAACATAATATATAGAACAGGGAACCTGGCCTGGTCTGGCCTGGCTTGGCCTTTTCAATGTCATGTGTAAATGTTTGGTATGATGCTTCAGCGGGTGCGTTTGTTTATTTAGCGCTGCGGCATTTCTGACAGTTCATTTACATATGAGCGATATGCAAGTGACAGAGATATACATCATATATATGCTATATGTACGTATATGCATATCAAGGTTGAAGGTCATTCGAAGGAGCTTCAAGTGGGGTTTAGGCTAAGCTGATGATAGAGCCAACTTGCATATGTAAGCAGAAAGATTTTACTGGAAAATTTTCTGTTTTAATTTTTTTGCAAGGTAATTTTCAAAAAGAGGTACTTGTAAATAGAAAATATGACATATATACATATATATTAGTCATATAAAGGGAAATTTTCATATTTTCAGTATATTTACTCAGATTTTGGAATTTTCGAAGGACTAAGGACTACAATTTGATCACAATCTATAAATAATACCTATACATATAAATAGCATATAGCTGAGGCAAATAAACATTCTATATGTATATATATTTTTTTATATAAAAAGATTTAGCATTGTGGGACTTTCAAAGTGATTCGAGAAATTTTTGGCTATAAACCATATATACTATATATGTATTTGTATGCATATCATATATGTATAAAAGGGATATTCATATATAATTTATGATTTATGCAAGTTATACGAAAACTTCGAAAATTAAAATGTAAATAAAACAATAAATAAAGAAACAAAAAACTAAAGAAAAGTTTTATGAGTTGCTTGAACCGTTTTCAATCACGCAGTCTTTCCCTATCTCTCTCTCTCTCTATATATATATATATTTAACCCATTTAACTTTCCCACCAAATGAAAGACATTTTAATAGAAATCCAAAAAGGAAAACTCAACAAGCATCGCGTGCACATTTACACCTGTAAAACAAGGCGCAAGAAAACTTGCCTTAACTGTCACCAGCTCACCTGTATTTCGCTTCCAGGTGGACATTGACAAGCTGGACTACAGTCTCTATTTGCCGCTGTTCTTCGATGGGTTGGCCGAACCGAAGCATCCATATAAGACATATGCTCGCCAGGGCGTTAGCGACTTGCTTCAAGCGGGCGGCGATAAAATCCATCCCGTGGTACCGCAATTAATTTTACCGTTAAAGAGTGAGTACCTGCCGGCGATGGGGGCAATCGGAAAACCCAAATATACAATGGAGAGCCAAACTCGAAGAGCTGCCTAGACAAAAAAAGTATTTGTCCTGGCACGCAAATTGCTTTTGCTTTAATTTGCACCTGTAACTTGTTCTTGTTGTTTTACTTTTTGCTTGGTTTACCTTTTGCAGACGCACTGAGCACCCGCAACGTGGAGGTGATGTGCACGACATTGAAAATCATACAACAACTGGTCATGTCCTCCGATATGGTGGGTCCCGCTCTGGTGCCGTTCTACAGACAACTGTTGCCCATGTTCAATGCGTTCAAAGTGAAGAATTGTAAGTGCGAATTGAATGCAGGAATGTAACGAGGGTGGTTTAGGCAATTGTCGGGATTATCATAGTTAGGATACGTGGAGTTTTTTCTAGACTAATCTGGATTTGTTTCGCCTAAAGGCAAAAGCAAATGAAATGAGAATTATGACTGCTGCAGTAGTAGTAGTTGAAGATATTGTTGTGTGTATAGACTGTATGCGTATACGTAATATATTAAGGTTTTATGTTCTGTAGAGCATAGTATATATAAAATGATTAATGACTATAGTGTATATTTTATGGTATACACAAGTTTTCCATTTGAAGTAGGTTTTGGGCCCTAGGGTTTGTATGCAATATGAGAAATATTGAAAATTTCTCTATGTATGGAATTTGATATTTACATAAAAGAGTATGGATAAAAATCTATCAGGAGATGATTCTATGACTTAGATCTTTAAGAAAAGAAAAGTATGCAGATATATAAACTAAATATCTCAATTTTAAATAATTTTTCTCTTTTTTCTTTAGTAAACTGTGGCGACGAAATCGACTATGCGCAAAAGAAGAACTTGAATGTGGGCGATTTGATAGATGAGACACTGCAGGTGCTTGAGCTGCACGGCGGCGAGGATGCGTTCATCAATATCAAGTACATGGTGCCGACCTATGAGTCGTGCTATTTGAATTGATCTCGTATCCTGTATCTGATTATCTTGTATCTCATATATGGCTAAAATGAAAGGCAGCTTTTACATGTTTTTTGCTTCATATACATATATGCATATATATTTATATTTATCACGAGTATTTATTGAATTTTACATAGATGCCAATGAATAAATTTGTTATTTATAATTTTCAATGTTTTTGTTTATATATAATTGAGTATATATGTGGAGATTATATAGTGTTTATATACTACGCGTAGGTATGTGCGTATATATGTGTGCGTGTGCCTGTGCAGCAAGCAGCATTAGCCAATAGCCCAAAAAACAATTAAACGTCTTCAGGCAGAGGCTGCAATGGAGGCGCAACAGCTCAATGGGGGCTAGAAAGAGATGGAGAGAGAGAGAGAGAGGACGGGGGACAAAATTATATTGTATATA